GAAAAGGGCGGACACCAGCAGTGACAGACCTGGGAGACAAATGAATAGAAATGCCACATTGTAGCTACATGGCCAGCGGAAAAGGGCGGACACCAGCAGTGACACAAAGGGCGGACACATCTTAAGAAAACATTGAGAACCCCTAACAATAAACGGTTTGGGGAAAAATGCAACAAAGCACTGGAAAACACACACCCGCATAGCCCCCCGCTCTCTTCTCAAAAGGGTAGAGGGCATGAAGGTTTGACGGAGGTACCTGTTGCACACTCTGTTTGCAGAGCTTTGGAAAAGTCTTTTATGACAAACAGCACTTTCAAGATTCGACGAGCTTTCCTCCACTTAGTACCGACGGCTATTTCGATGACGATGACTACGAATATGATGATTTCAGAGGAGGCTTTCGATCGGCCGTCCCAAGTCGGCCGTAGAAAGAACTCTTGCAGCTGAGCGCTCAGCTCCAATCCCAGGACTGTTCCAAATAGAACTCAATATATGGATACCCTGGCGCTAACTCTTGCGACCGCATTCAAGAAGCCATTCTGTTGGTTAAATTCTCGGTTTGGCAAAGCTTGGTCCAAACTGAAGTGGACAATTTTGCATTTTTCCGCTGTGAACAATTGAGCGCCAAGAATCAGATCTGACATTTGGAGGGTACTTGAGCAGCAGAGTAAAGGGTGGAGATGGTGTGAAGAGCAGTGGGGCAGTTGTTTGGACAAAACGCTCAGCTTGCCACCCAGAAGTCCTCAAGCAAAAGACATGTTGCAAGTAGTAATGGTCTGTGAATGCAACGCGACTATGTAACTCATGACAGTAGGCCGATGGGCCCTTTGAATCTTGGATGTAGTGTCATTGCTTTTCACCATGCCTGGAATCCGCGTTAGACTCAGATACGTTTGGGTTTCCTAAAATCATGGGAGCGGCGACATTCAGACAAGATGCGGCGACATTTGGCACGGAGTCTTGGAGGCAGATTGATTCATGCCATTTGCAGCCAGTTCTGCTGAAGTTTGGAAAACCCAGAACGCTCCAGATGTTGTTTTTTCGACAAACGGCGTGGTGGCCAGCCAAGTTTTGTTTGTCTTCATTTGCAAACCGAATGGGCCGGGTGGCTTGACCAAGATCTTCCTCCACTGTCAAGGGGTGGAAAAAAGACACCTCTTCAAAAACAAGGGATTTCATTGTTTTGCAGAGCTGTGAAGTTAAGCTCTTTTGCGTGTTCAAGAAACACTGCTGGCCATCAAGCCTTACCCTCGGCTGTGAAGCTGGAAGAAGTCTCTCGTGAGCGCGCGAAAGCGTCAAACATTTTAGGCTTTAGAAATGCAGTGAAAACATGCAATGACATGTTTCTTCAATCATTTGTCCTTTTTCTGATGTTTTAAGGCCCTTTTGCGTTTCGAACGCGACCAAACCATTCCCAGAGACTGAAACTCGCAGGCACCGGCTCACAAAGATGCGCAGCTTCTAACCATCTAAAAAAAGAGTAGTGCGCATCCATCCAACCACAACGCCGCAGGAATTGTTTTGCTGCGCCAGTTTGCATTTTGAAGCATTTGCAATTTTTACAGCGTTCCACAGAGTTCTACTGGAGGTGGTTAGCTTGCGCCAAAGTGGACTGATGCGGTTAGGGCCGACGCAATGGCGGGTGATGAAGGCCTTTGCTAAAAGCAATGTTGAAAGCGATGGCAATTTGTTCATTGCTTTGCGGCTTTGCCCATGCGCTTCAGCATTCGAATAAAGCATTTGGAGTTCCTGTGTTTTTGCAACTAGGCTCACCTGAGGGACTGGGTGCTATGGTGCTGGTGTTTTTGCTACCTCTTTCTCCTTTTCTCGGAAGGGTATATATAAAGAAGGCTTTCTTTGCAACACTTTGAATTGGCGCGTCTTTGAATTGGCCGCAGGGCTTCAGGAGTTCCTCGTGCTCTTCGCTCATCACAACATGTATTTCAATATGAGGTGAGTGTTTAGAGCCTAAAAGGAGCCTAAAAGGCACCAAACTGATGCTGCAGTCAGATCCTTCTTGAGATGGTTTGAGTGATATTGACAGGATTTCTATTTTTTTATGTGTGCAAAATTGACATGTGACATGATCCAAGTTAACTGCACTTGAGCGGGCCAGTGTTGATGTTTTGATTCGTATCGAATTGTGTCTAGATTCAGGTTCCAAGAGCTCGAGGCACTGGCAGCACTTCAAGGCATCTTGAAGCCTGATCTTTACGTTGAGGCCGCAAACTTCGCTCAGAGTTAGAGTCAGTCACCAGCTATGCTGCGTTTGAGTTGTCACAGGACAGTTTGACATCAAATTACAAAGTCGCCAAAGTTCATCGTACAGGGACAACTGTAACTGCCTCGTGTGCGCGACATTTTTCCACCCAACTAACACCACGAGAAGCCAGGGTTGACTACAACTAACACAGTTTCTGGCTTTCTCTTCCACCAAGCAGGCGCCTCCCTCGGCGCTGAATGCTTCTCCAGCTGTTCTGGTGCGCATGCGCCAGGCACAGCTCGCAGATTAGGCGATGCTACTGTATGCTACTGTATTGAACTTCAGACGTAATAGTGTGATCGCTCAAATCAATCCTGGACTGCCTGCATGAAGTCTTTGGATCACTTGAGATCCCTGAAGATTCCTTGCCAGGAGGATGCTCGAAAAATTTGCGAGCGAGCTGTACTGGTGAAGGTGTGGGACGCACAGGTCAAATGCAGAGAGACTCGCTGCATGATCCGCAGCTTGTTAAACTTCTCCTTTTTTCGTGTTACCTTTTTCACCTTGCTCCGACTTGCTCCGGCTTTGTTCATTGAGTGGTGCAGGCCGTGCTGGAAGTCTGGTCTCTCGGCCACAGCTGCCCGGAGGCAGGCTGTAGACTTTTGCAAGGTTGGAGCTTCTTTCAGGTGTACTGAGGTATTACAACAGGTTGGAGTTATCCGCAAGCTGTGTAGTTCTGTACCTTCTAGCCTTTACGTAACTGTCCTCGCTGTTCTTGGCTCAACAATTCTCGAGGCTGTCCAGACTGCGGTTGCTCAAGGTGAAGCGGTCCGAAGGCCATGCACTCCAAAAGGTGTTCCAGCCTCTAAAGTGGGATCAACATGGATCAACCCCTATACAAACCAGAATGGAAGCATGCAAACAACTGCTGATACCTAGCTTATGCATTTTGCTTCGAAGTGAATTTCCGTATGATTGTTTAATGTTCTGATTCTGCTTTTCGAATCAAAAGCACAACATGCATTCAATCAGCATGTGTGGGCGACAAAAACACCTGAATTAACGATGCTTTCAGTTACTAGTAGTGACTAGCTGCATTTGTGCCAAGCAGGGCAGAAGTCATGTCGGTCATCCTTAAGTGTTTCTACTCACTTCTGTTCATAGTCGTTTGACTTGTCTCTCATTGACATTGATATGTCAGATCTTGTCAGATGGGAGGCAGCGCAGGAGATTCTTGGCACCTCCCTTGAAGTTGCAGCTTCGTCCGGGACCCACTGTAAGCTGACACATCTATTGCTGCTCGAGATTCTTCAGTTCATTGGTCAGCTTGGGGAGATTTACTTTGACGCGCACCTAACAGAAAGAGAGAGAGAGAGAGGGAGAGGGAGAGGGAACCACCCAACACCAACATTTTTTCCCACAACGCAGCTTGCTGTGGTAATGGCGGTTGACCTCCAGCAAAAGCGATGCCTAGTAGTTTATGTTGCTAATTTTCCCAGGTGTTGAAGCTTTTGGTCGAACATTGACCGTGGAGGCACGGGTTGAGGAAACCCGTTTCTGCACAATGCGGAAAGTTATGAGCACAGCCCACACATTGCAGAAGCAGTAGCTAGCACTGCTGTGCATGGTTTCAGATTGGCTTAGTCTGTGGCAACACCGTTCCACGATCCTTTTTCTCAAGCTGCCTCCCATGTTGAGTATCACATCTGCTACTGTTATCGTACTCGTGCAGGGCCCAGTTCGTATGCCGTGCTGTTAGTGTTTGATGTGTTGGTGCCTCCTGGCACAGAGATGGTTCTTTGCAAGGTCTTTCATGGACATGCGCTTGTGCGGCGTGATGCTGACGGAGGTCCGATGGACGTTCAGGCTGCCGGCTAGTCCCACTTCTGCTTGTGCCAAGCATTTTGGTCTATTTTGACAATTGTTTGCACGTGGAGCTAGCAGGAATATGTGAAGGAGCCACGCTTCCTATGTGGCACGGCTTCGACATCTTTTACCTGTGGGTAGTGTGATGCTTGTTTGATCGATTTGATCGACATGTCTTCTTTCAAGGAAGACAGTTCAAGTTGTTTTTGGTTCTGAGGTGGCCAGGCTGCAGGCTGCCCTGTGTTGTCCATCGAGTGGATGAAAATTGTGGCAAGAGATCCTTCAACTGGGAAGAGCGTTCCTCGACTCAACACCTAGGAGATTTCAAGCAAGGCTTTTAGGAGGCTGAAGACATGCTTTTGATGTGCAAGGCAACTTTCCGTGATGTTATGGCCGGGCCTGGTTGGGCCAAGGACAGTCCCCTCATAAGGCAAATCCTAGGCTTTGTTGCTTTAGTTTGTAACTTTAGCAACTGTGTGTGGAGATTTTTCATTTGCTTCCAAATCTACTAGCAGTTACTATAGTTACTAGTTGCTACTAAGCTCGGTAATGAAGGTAATTATGCTTTGAGAGAAGAATGCCGAATAATGTAGAAGAAGAAACATTTTTTAAACACAAACATGAAGAACAATCAAATGCATCCAATACTGCCCATTTGTTTAGCTGCGTATCGTTTTCTTGTTTGGAGAGTCAAAGCCGATGATGAAAAAGGCTTCCAGCAGGATAGGATGTATGATAGAAGGCCAAGGGGGAAATGCAAGTGCTTTGTTGCGTTTGGATCCAGGAGTGGAACTGGGGCCACCATACGCCACACATGACGCACAAAACTGGACCGATGATTCCCGAGGTCGATGTTGCTTTGCTCAGGTTCAATCAGAGAGGGGTGGGCAATAGTCATAATCATGCGGCGAGTTGAATTTGACTTTATCCTTTTACAACTTGCGTGTTTTCTCATTGCCCGACTTTCTGAGGGGAGCTTAGGCTTAGATCTTAGATGACTTAGCAATTTTCGAAGAAGAGACACCAGCCACAAGCGTAAGACGAATGCAAACCTGCGGATCATCCAATGACAGTTGGATAGAACAGGATCAGATTCAACTTGGCACAGGAGCGCATTGCCTTGGCTGTATAATATGGGAAATTGGAATCTCCTGTTTGCAACTCCAGTTTATTGGATGAGCATACAATTTTCCCAACACGTTGCCACCTTCAAATTATCAAGCTCCCACAGCAAACATCAAGATTTAAGGGGCTTACGCCCGACAGTGGGCCAGCAGGGGGCCTAGAGGGAGGCGGCAGAGGTAAAGGTAAACAGGTGAGAGCGAGTGTCGGCGTGGTGCGTGCTGGTGGCGCGGATGCGGTGGTTGCAGGAGGCGTTTGGGTGGGTGTTGCGGTAGTGGTGGTGGTGGTGGTGGTGGTTCTGATTGTGGTGGTCGTTCGTGTGGTGCTGGTTGTTCTCCTGGCTGTTGTTGACCAGAGCCCGCGGGCCACGCAAAAACCTCAGCCCGCCCACGCCGAAAACACCCTGGCCCTAGAGTGTTCAACGGGTCTTGAGACCGAGCCCTGCCACTGTCTAACGTTGCCTTCTGAGCACCATAGCGGCGGGGACGCTCAGCGGCCAAAATTTGAGCCCCGGCGCGCCACAACACCCCCCCCAGGGGTTTCAACAACCAGCGGCCTATACGGATGTTTGCAGAGCCCATGGGCCACAAGAACCTCAGTCCCGCCACACCGAAACACCCTGGCCCTAGAGGTCTCAACAGGTCTTGAGGCTGAGCCCTGCCACTGTCAACGTTGCCTTCTGAGACCCGCAGTCACTGGTATGGGCCCCGCGCAGCTTCCCACGACCAGCCGCCTTTTTTGCGCCACACAGTATTTGGGCCCCGCTACACCAAAACACCCTGGCCCTAGAGGTTTCAACGGGTCTTTTGACCGATGCCTCCTGAGCATCATAGTGACAGTAGTCTAGGACGCACCCGGCTAGCGTAGAGCCCCTACTGTTTGACCTGGCCTCGAGACCCACCCGTCTTCTGAGCGCCAACAGTAGTCCTAGACGCGCCCAGCTACCCGCAACCGCGCGCGGCCTTTTCTGGCTGCTTGATACCGAAGCCCATGGGCCACGCAAAAGCCTCAGTCCCGCCACCCTGACACTACAGGTTTCAAGGGGTCATGAGACCGCTGCCACTGTACGTTGCCGCCGTAGCGACATTTACTTGTTTGGGGATTTACACGGCTCTTGGGAGGCCACATGCAACTTCAGTCCCGCCACGCCGTTTCACCTTGCCCCTAGGGGTTTCAACGGGTCTGGAGACCAAGCCTTGCCACTGTCTAGTGGAGCCCATAATGAGAGTAGACTGGAAGGCGCCCAGCTGCCCGCGACCAGACGCCTTGACGGCCCACGACCGCGACGCTGTCGCCACTCCGCGAAAAGCAGCCCATGGCCTTTGCCCTGCCTGTTGCCCGGGGTCGGCGGGTTTTGCTTTTGCCGTGCTGCAACACCACATGTAAGGAAATGATGGATGATTCTTGACTGCACTTTCTGCTTCTGCAAAGACATGCAGTCGAACAGCTTTGTGAATATTTAGAGCCCACTGTGGACTTAGCAAGGAGATGAAGCGCTACGATTCCACGGACACCACTTTGGATACGCACCTTGGTGCTTTTCGTGCGCTTTTCTGCTTGGTGACCTGTACTGCCACAGGCAACGATTTCTGATGACTTCTGGCGTCTGAAAGCAGTTTCTAAATCAAGTACAAAGCTCTTGACCACCACACTGACATGAGAGAATGTGAAGCATACCACACCATACTGTTTTTTGTTATGTTAATGCAGCAAGAACCACAGTCCCAGAAAAAAATTGTATGCGTGTTTTGTACCCCATGCAATTGAGAATCATTCAACAACTAAACCGAGGTTCTTCATGTCCCGTGGTGTTCTTGGGTCCTTGGCCAACAACGAAACCACGGACTTGAGGGTGAAGGAGTGGAGCTGAGGATCAACTGGAAGCCTCACGTGAGTTACTTTTGTCAATTGGTTGGATTTCTCCAGAGTCTTACATGACCATTGTGAGAATGACACTTTGTGACTTTGTGAGCTTTGAGGTCAAGTGATAATAAGTGATACGTTTTGGGGACGTGTAGCTTTGCCATGTGCTTATGAGCTTGAGGAGCTATGGGGGATCAATCCAGTACCATGGCACCAGAAGTTCCGGTGCTCGTGGTGGCTTAGTTCGCGTCCTGTCGAGCCAACCTTTGAAGCTCATCTAAGGTGGTAGAGAAGTCCGAACCACTGGTCGAGGAGTATAACCAGACTTTAAAACAGTCGCTTGTCATCAAAGTCATCAAACGTTGGTGTTGAAGTGTGCAACACCATTCCTTTTCAAGTGGCAGGATATGTTACAACCTGCCATGATGTTTTATTTTCTCAATATTTCTACCTAGGCAGTCACTGATACAGAGTGCTGCTCGGCTTGTCTCAGCTGTTTGGCCTTCTTTTGCCAACACAGTTAGGTGAGTTCGTGCCATGGGCTCTGTGCACTTTGCTCAGTTTCTTTGTTCCTTGAGGTGCAGCGATACAATGCTGCAGTAAGCAGTGGCCAAAGAGCTGCAATCCTGGTTCACTCTACGTGCTGAGTTGTCTTGAGCTTTGCGCAGAAAGCAAAAGAGCGAGAGAGGAGTCATTGGATGTGATAGTTCTTGTGGGCGAGAGGCTGCTGAAATTGCAATCACTGGCAGGAAAAGACCGAGAGTATGGAAGGCATTCGCCCTTTGTTTGATGGCGATGAGGCAAAGCATTGTGAGTCTCAAATTCAACTATATAGCAGCCACCGAATGGCTACTGGTAGGGAAGGATTTGTTGCATTGCTGTCAGTTGCTCCCCTTCGGGTTTTGCTATAGCAATGCAGCAACAACCTTGCTTTGACTATGTTGAAGTTGCTCTGACCAAGAGAGAAGCATCACAACCTGTTTGTGAGAGCCTGTTGGGAAATGCAATCGTGCGAGATGCTTGAAGGTGGTGGATTTGAAAGCTCCTGACACAACGCTGTGGGTCCTGGAGGCAACCCGATACTGGACACATCTGACTTGTCTTGAGAATTGTCACTCTTGAAGCAGCTTCATTGTCAACAAAGCTCACTCGTATGTTTTGTTGAAATGCGTTCTCAGTTACCTCCTGCTGCAGGAGCACCGCCACGAAAGCGTAGAAAAGACACATTTGGGCCCGCGAAAATGCAGGACGCTCTGTCATCAAATGTGTCTTCCAGAAAGCTCAAGAACCGAGTGGAAACTTGTGGCCAGGCCTGAGCGTGTGATCATTGGTCGCCAGGCGTTTGTGAAGTCCTTTCCTATTTCAAATTGACTTGATTGAACGTTTGGGGGAAAATCCAGGTGGCTGGGGGCCGCAGTGTAGACAAAAAGATCAAAGGTGGAGAGAAGGCCTTTGCACCGCAAATTGCTTGCAAGTGAAGCTCAAGTTAGAAGTTGGTCGAGTTAGTATATTGTCTTTTGGTGAATAGCTAGCTTTAACATTTATCAAGTGATCCAACGTTGTAGTTGTAATGCTTATGATGCATCATATTATGTAGTGCATCATCCGTATTTCCAGCATCCAAGTCACACTACCTTTCAGGGACTCCAATTCGTAATCAAACTTCCAGATTCTCTCTCGATACCTTCGCTGATGAAATGGTTGTGAGCAGATTTCTTGAGCTCAGTGCTACTTCCAGCTATATGACTTGTCTCAACGGGCCGTTTTGGGACCTACAACCCTGGAGCTCGGCAACCCAGAAAAAAAAGATTTCAGAAAGATCAAAAGAGGAGTGCAATTGCGTCATACAAATGCATCACCAGCATCACTTGGGCATCAGCAAATTCGGATGACAATCATCGATCACTTTCAAGTACTCAGCTGTGTTTCTGACTCATCTTGCAGAGGAATGAACTTGCCTTTATCATGGCGAACTGCGCATGTGTACAGCACGGGCCCCGTTGCCATTGCGAGATTTTGGCACTAGCACCAAATTGTGTTTTAACGTTCGGAGAAGGACACGGACACAAGACGCTGAGCACGCTGAGCGGGTCAAACTTTGCACAGGTCTGGCCAGTTCGGCATGGATCCTTTCTGCGGGACGGTTTTTTCTTTGGGTTTCGAGTTTCGAGCCAGTGAAGAGTCCAGGTTTGCGGCTAGACTTTTATGCATTGTGACGCAATCGCCCATGGAACCCCGTGAGCTATCCTGTGTCCGTTCGGTAGTAGCAGGTTACCTGGTAGCTTACTCAGTCCTTACTTTATCAACAAGACGCCCACTGGGCCATCGGCTATACACAAACAAGAAGACATGTATTTGCTTTTTGTCCTTAAAGCTTCGTCCAGGACTGGAGGCCTGCTACTTGCTATGGCCCATTTTGGTGCGTTCGGCAGCCCATTTGTCGGCACAATTCTTCTGTTGTGGGATCAGGTGCGTTTGTTCTGAGGAAGCTTTTCGGGGGAGAGATCGACATTCGCGTCGTCAGAGGTTGGAGGCCTTTATATAGTCTGAGCTTGTTTTTGTGGACGCATCGAGCTCAGACGTTTGTCAGAGGATTGCCTACACCAAGAACAAGGCCTTTTTGTCCTCTGCATCCTGTGTCACAGAAGAAGTTGCTCGCTTTTCCAGGCAGCGGTCCTGGAGGCAGCACAGAAAAGAGGCTTGCAAAGCACGAGACAGGGAGCCTAGATGCAAAAATGAAAGGACATTGAAGGGGCTGTTGTGCTTCAGATCGTGCTATTCAACATGTTTAAGCCAAGGGCAGGAAAACCGTACATGTAGTCGTGCGCATTTTCCACTCAGGTTCGCTGACATACTGGGACATACATCAGGACAGTCGATAAGATGTCATTTTCGTTGTATATACTCGTAAATTACAGCGTTTTTGTATGTATTACATGTCGACACTGTCTTGGGCTGCTACGACATCATTTTTTCTTTCAGTCCTTTTCGTCGTAGTTCCGCTCAATTTTGGAACTTCTGAACACAGTGAGACGAAGTCAAAGATGACACAACTCAACCACCACACGCGCGGGTTTTCCTTCCACCGGGATGTTTTAGCCTCAGCTTTTGGTTTGCTTTGAAGCGGACCATGAGCACATTGACACCCACGTTCCACAACACATCACGTTTTGAACTTGAAAAACAGCAAGAAAAGGAAGGTAAGGCCCTCCAAAGTCTAAAGGGGTCTTTACCTTCCTTCCTCTTTTCATTTGCTTTATATATTCCTTTTTTTTGTGCTCCACTGGCTACTTGGAGATGTCCAAGGCCCAAGCGCCGCCAAAGCCTGCGGCAAGAAACCAGCTGAGAGGCGAGGGCAGAAGGACCTCTGATGAAGCCCAACAGGAAAAGAAGGAGTTGGAAGAGTAAGATGGAAGGAGAATGGAGTAGGGTGGGAAGAAGGAAAGAAGATGGAAGAAGGAAAGAAGATGGAAGAAGGGAAGAAACCAAAAATACTCATGAGAACGAAGGCTCGAAGCTTCGTCTGAAGCGGATGGAGTGATGACTTTGCAGTACCTGCTCAAGCTTGGGTGGGCAGCTCAGACTTGGCTGAACCCACTTGATCTAGCTGCTTAGATTGTTGGAATCCTGCTTCATCTAGGCTTCCGGTGCAGGGAGTGTCTGCGCTGCACCCAGAGTGCTGTGACGGAGGGTTTGCCGATAGTTACAAGAGGTTGAAAAATACTCGACATTACCGACATTACCAGACCGCCCACACAACGAGTGGTGGTGCGAAGATGCATAAAACATGTTTGCGCCGAAGGTTCCTTTCCAAAGACTTGGCCAACTTTTGGTTTCTTTCACATCAAAAGAGCACAGGGGCTAACAACTCCTAGTGGCAAATGAATGCATTGACTAGTGTCTAAGTTTGTAGTGCTTGATGTCGACAGCAAAATTTTGAATACATTAAAATTCTCCCGCCAGGTGAAGAAATTGAAGCAAACAAATCCGAATGCCCGTGCAGAGAAGGTCCCTACGTTTGCAAGACCTTGCACTTGGAAAGTTCCTGCTTCTCACTTTCACGCAAGAGTTTATAGACCTTACTTGGGGCTGGTATGTCAAACTTCTGCCCCTGAAGGACCATGCTCTTGCCAGTGCTGGAGGATGCAACATCTTCACCAATTTTGCCTGGAGCTGAGTGCAGCGGCCATTTCTGGAGTTTTTCCAGTTCGGGTAGATTTGGATTGCTTAAAGCTTGCTTGAATTTGATCCACCATTGCAGACATCGCCATTGTTGAGCGCTTGTACTTTCCAGGTGCAGTATGATTTGCCATCTCCGGATGTCGTCGTTTGTCAGAACACCAAGAACCTTGCTTGTCAATCTCAAACAGAATTTGGTTGTATTCCTAAAAAAACTTCCTTCCAGCGGTTTTCCTTGAGAAACTGCAAGATTTTCAAGGCGACAATGCAATGCCTTGCTGGAGACAGCCAGCTGGCGGATGGCTTGTTCGGGACGCCCAGAAATTTGGCGAGAGCACCTGCCCGTGCCTGCCACAAATTCGGCACTCGATGGCTTTCTGCTTTTCACGCGCGTGTTGATTGATTGTTTTGTGCACCTGAACTGCTCTCTGCTCTGAAGTCTGACAAACGAAGCTGACCATGTGACAATCGTGAGGGCAGAATCACAGTGTCAGCTGAGGATTTTATCGTGACTGACCCACCATATGGTGTTCGAGCGGCTTGGCTAAAGTCAAACGCTTGATTTGATCGGGTTCACTGGAGCACAGAAAATGCCAGGCAGGTGCAAAGAAGCAGGGCCGTGAGGGGAAGGAGGTTGTCGTGCAGGCCGAGTTTTTAGCCATGAAAGAGAAGGGCAGGAAGCGGCAATGGAGCAAACCTTCTCATTCCTCAGGGTCTCTATATAGCTCTTTCGATCATATACAGTTGACAAAAACTCTGTGTGCCACCTGCTCTGTTGCAGGACGTCAGCAGCTACATCCCCTCCAAGGTCTCCTATGGAGAGGAGACTTTTGGGTTTGGAAACAGACCTTGCAGCTGGACCTGGAAAGTTGCCGAAAAACCTTGACCCAGAGTGCATTCCTTAGCTTCTTTGGCCAGGATGAACTATCGCATGATTTGCTGGGCTTTGCCTCAGAGAGCTTGCGAGATGGTGGTCGCCTGGTCTTTCTTGTGGGCTGCTCAAGACTCAAGACTGGAAGCCTTAGTATGTGCAACACATACTCATTTGTACCCGTGGAACACAGTGTCGATCTATCATGATAGAAACATATTTGAGGGCTTACGCCCGACAGCCGGCCAGGGGCTCCCACATGGGTAAGGGGAAAGAGGGAGAAAGGAGGGGGAGGTGTCATGCGTCTAACCTGCTCAGAGGGCCACGCCCGCCTTCCTCCACGGCTCAGTACTGGTTGCAACCAAGGTTTCATATCTGCGCCGTGCGAGTCTGGATCATTGGGCGGCAACCCCCTACCACGACGACTATACTCCTCTTACCAACATATCCACACCAGCTAGGACGATCACAACGACCAACCCCAACCCCACATCAACACTTACTACTCTTCCTCCTCCCCCTCCTCTGTTTGGAAAGGATGAACCGGTATGGCTGTTTGGGAAGAAGCTGGAGAAAATGGCGCAGCTAGGCATAGTACGTGTGGATGGTTAGGTTCAAGCTCGTCGAAGAAGTTGAGTTGTGTAATGCAAAGCTGAGGCTGCAGCGCTGCAGGTGTAGCACGTGTTGCATGTGGGATGTTGAGTTTCACACGATTTCACACGGCACCGGGCGCCCCTAAAAAAGTCAGCGGAACAGGGAACTACCAACCCCCTGACAAGCACACCAATGACTTCCGAGCTGCAGCTGTTCCGCAAGTCCTCTTCAATCCGAGGGTACATTCCGAAACAAAAAGGAAGAGGAGGGTGTTATACTTGGAGTTGTTGTTGTTGTCGTTGTTGTGGTGGTACTTATTTTTGTTGTTTTGGTTGAGGTTGGAAGGAAGGGAAATGTAGTGATCGTAGCAGTTGTTGTGTTTCTTGGAGTGGGAAAGGCGTTCCAAGGAAAGGGGAGGGGGTTGGCGTGGAACAGTGTCATCCTGAATGTGCAAATGCGGGTCTTTTGGTAACAGCTTGTCGAGTAGAATGTAGAAATGTGTTCCGCGTCGAATGTGTTCTGGCAGTGTAGTGAGTTTCGAGGTAGTGACCCGGCGCCTGTAGGTAACTAAAACTCAATTGTGCCAATAATGCGCTGTGACCCGGGAGGCATAACTCGCGCCGCCAACCCTTCTTCACCAGCTATTTACACATCAATATAGAACTAAAATTGGAAGGCCAGAACGCACCATGAAACGCAGAATTTTAGTCCGTCCTGACTCAGTTTGTGGCCGGGCATCTCCCTTTCTGCTTCGCAGATGCAGAGCAAGACACGGCCCTGGCCGCGCTGATACCGCCGATCCTCGCGAAACAGAATAATAGTGATAGCCCAGCCGAAGCGGATACGTCAAGAAGCTTCGCGCGAAAGCGAAGCGGTTAGACCAGGTGACTAGGTAAGCCTGGCAGCTAGTATTGCAAGCGGCCACAGCTCATCTTCTGAAAGCCTTCCCCAGGTCTCTCCCAAAAGCATCAAAGCGCACTCGCTCGAGATGCCTAACCTCGGTTTTTGATCCCCTATAGTATATTAACATCTCTATACACATCTCTCGTCGGCCTGTCGGGAACCTAAAACAATTCCGTTGCTGCAGCTATTCCCGATGCTATTCTGCTCGCAAAAACACCGAACATGTGCCTGCACCGGCCCGGATGCCTAACCTCGTAGTTGTTTTTTTGCGCCCTCCGCCGCACTCAACATCAAAAAAAACTATTCCTCCGCCACACCGCTGGGAACCAAAAAGATCATCCTCCATAGTTTTTCCTCGTGCTATTCTGCTCCCAAAAACATCGAACATGCACCCGCCCCCAGTCTAAACGCCCTACGAAATCTCAACTGCCTCCAGCTCCCAAAAGACATACTGGTGTGTGTGTAGTCTTGCTTTGCCACAGCCTGGGCTACGTATAGTGGCTGGAGGGAACTCATATTTTTCTAGGATTTTTTTTTCGTTTTTTTTTTGGATTCTTTTTCACGTTTAGGCATTAGGTATCTCTGTTGGCTTCTGGTGGCTTCTGGTAGCTTTTGCTAGCTTCTGTTGGCTTTTGCTGGCTTCCGGTGGCCTTTACTGGCTTTTGGTGGCTTTTGTTGGATTTTGGTGGCTTCTGGTGGCTTCTGGTGGCTTTTGGTGGCTTTTGGTGGCTTCTGGTGGCTATTTTGTTGGCTTCTGGTGGCTATTTTGTTGGCGTCTGGTGGCTTTTGGTGGCTTCTGGTAGCTTTTGCTAGCTTCTGTTGGCTTTTGCTGGCTTTTGTTGGCTTCTGGTGGCTTCTGGTAGCTTTTGCTAGCTTCTGGCGGCTTTTGCTGGCTTCTGGTGGCTTTTACTCGCTTTTGGTGGCTTTTGTTGGCTTCTGTGGGATTTTGGTGGCTTCTGGTGGCTTTTGTTGGCTTCTGGTGGCTTTTAGTGGCTTCTGGTAGCTGTTGCTCGCTTCTGTTGGTTTTTGCTGGCTTCTGTTGGCTTTTGGTGACTTGTGTTGACTTTCGAAGGCTTCTGTTGGCTTTTGTTGCTTTTTGCTTTTGTGGCTGTTCGCTATCCTTGCTTTGCTTATGTGATGCAGGAAGGAAGAAAGGAAGGAGGGAAGGAAGGAAGGAAGGAAGGAAGGGAAGGGAAGGAAAGAAGGCAGCAAGAAAGGAAGGAAGGAAAGAAGGTGAGCACTTGCAGGTGGCCAGCTTGCGGAGAAACAACTATCATTTTGGAGACACGAGCCTGAGGGAAGGCGCCCACAACAGGACCAGAAAAAAAATCCAAAAAAAAAAACGGACACAATCCTTTAAAAAAACGCGGCCTGGCTGGAGGCAGGGTTCCAGTGCCGTAGCGCCAACACATCTCCAACAAAATGTTGGAGCACCAACCTGTACACCAAAATGGTGATGCTCCCAGAGGAGTACGCCGGCCTGTACAAGTTTTCCCGCGAGGGTGGAAAAACCGTAGCCAAGGTGACTGACGTCACCAAGCAAGGCCGCCAACTCACAGATTCAGACGAACGTCTCCATCGCGAACTTCATCACTGCGACATGAAGTCACGCGCCCAATTGCACTGCTAACCCTCATCAGCCGTGCAAGGCAAAGGGAACCAGAAGCCAGCATCAAGGACAGCAAACCGGAAGAGAGAGCCGGAAAGAGCCGACAGAGACCGGAAGGGAGAGCGAATCAGCCGGCTGCAAAGTGGGTCCTGAAGGGCCCGATAATGAAAAGTCACTATGCCTCCTGCCAAACAACGAAGCCCAAGACCTTCACAGGACCCCGAGCAAACAACGAAGCCTCCGCCACGTTGCATGGCCAGGAAGTGTGATCCACACTCAGCCCCTGCCTCTTCCTTCTGCCTCCTCCAAGCAGTGCCGCTGGGGTTCATCAAAGCAGGTGGCAAGTGAAATTCATCACCAGGTTTGTCGCCATCCGAATGACGGTTGGGGGGAAAGCTACCCAGGCAGCCACCCCCGACCGGGGAGGTATTTGTGGACAGGTCCAATTCCCGCGCAACCACGCCAGGCCATGGCTGCGCCCCCTCCCGGGGCCAAAGACATATTGGCGCCAAAGGTCGGATTTGGAACCCTATTGGACCTTTAAATAGTAACAAGAAGCTATTAGAAACAAGTGCATCGCTACTAGTAACAAGTGCCTTACAAGTAGTTCCCGGGCAAGCCGGCGGCGGAAGTTTCCTATAAGAACAAATTGACCTATAGGAGTGTCCACGTTCTCTCCAACATGCGCGTCCTCCAGTCAAACGCACGCGCTCCGGACTTGTGCCCCCTGCAGGATCAGCAGCTCACAACAGCGTACTGGGCTGTATCTTTGCCACGACAAGAGGGGTGTATGACGAGTGGTGTATGATGAGTGGTGTATGACGAGTGGTGTATGATGAGTGGTGTATGATGAGTGGTGTATTGACCAGCAGTTGAATGTCCTGTCCTGCATAAATGCAACCAAATACTATCAGTATGAACTGTGCCAAACCTGCACGCCGCGAGAGATGACTCAGCAGCGACAGATGACTCACAGCAGCGAGAGCTGACTCAGCAGCGAGAGATGACTCCTCCGCGTACTACACTTGTACTAAGTGGCCAGTTCTCAGCTTCCAGCTCCACAGGTTGTTCCGCGTGCTAAAGTTGTACTAGAAAGTCGCCAGTTCTCAGCTTCCAGCTCCACAGATACTCCGCGTACTAAAGTTGTACTACAAAGTCGCCAGTTCTCATCGTCCAGCTCGCCAGATACTCCGCGCACTAAAGTTGTACTACAAAGTCGCCAGTTCTCAGCTTCCAGCTCACAGATTGCTCCGCGTACTAAAGTTGTACTAGAAAGTCGCCAGTTCTCAGCTTCCAGCTCTACAGATTGCTCCGCGTACTAGAGTTGTACTAGAAAGTCGCCAGTTCTGAGCTTCCAGCTCTACAGATTGCTCCGCGTACTAAAGTTGTACTAGAAAGTCGCCAGTTCTCAGCTTCCAGCTCTACAGATTGCTCCGCGTACTAAAGTTGTACTAGAAAGTCGCCAGTTCTCAGCTTCCAGCTCCACAGATACTCCGCGTACTAAAGTTGTACTACAAAGTCGCCAGTTCTCATCGTCCAGCTCGCCAGATACTCCGCGCACTAAAGTTGTACTACAAAGTCGCCAGTTCTCAGCTTCCAGCTCACAGATTGCTCCGCGTACTAAAGTTGTACTACAAAGTCGCCAGTTCTCATCGTCCAGCTCGCCACATACTCCGCGTACTAAAGTTGTACTACAAAGTCGCCAGTTCTCAGCTTCCAGCTCCCCGGATGCTGTGCCTGCCACGAAATCTGCGCATGGAGGTTCACAAAGTGCTGTGCCTGCCACGAAATCTGCACATGGAGGTTCACAAAGCGCTGTGCCTGCGAAGAAATCTACACATGGAGGTGCACAAAGTGCTGTGCCTGCCACGAAATCTGCACATGGAGGTTCACAAAGTGCTGCGCCTGCCACGAAATCTGCACATGGAGGTTCCCAAAGTGCTGTACCTGCCAGGAAATCTGCGCGTGGAGGTTCACAAAGTGCTGCGCCTGCTACGAAATCTGCACATGGAG